AGAAAACATTTCAAGAAAATGTTTGCAAGAAAAGAACCAAGCTCAGAGAACCCCAAGGACTCCATGGAGTTTGGTTAATTTGCAAAAGAAACATTGGATCCAAAGACCCTTTTCTACAATTGCGGGGTCTTTCTTGCCCAGGAAATAGGTGTTTTTATACTTATCCCAAAGTGAAAATAAACCTGAAAATCTTATTTACTTTGTACAATCTCTTGGGCATGCTGGAAAAGTAAGAATGGCTATAAATCCTTGTAATTATAACACTATATAGATTCAGAGATAAATGCTTCTTGTTCTTTGGCTCTATTCCAAATTCTCATGTTACCCAGCTGGGCAGTAAGATATCCAACACTGTCGTAAATGTATGGAAAGTATGGAAAAACTGATATATTTAAAAATCATGTTCACTTGTCTTGGCTGCAGAAATCCAGATTTTTGTGTTTTCTGCCATTGTTGGAATTTTGCAGCCAAGAAATGGTTTCCCTGTTTTTTATGAAATGGCAGTCATCAGCTTTGTTTCATCTTTTGATATGCACATTCTTCTGTGCTCTTGAGTATAATTTAGTGCACCTGATTATGATATGTTTACATAACAAGTTAATTGAATACATTCAATAGCACTGACAATGAATTAAAATTTTAAAAACCATTTATTCATTTTTAAAGGGACTATTTTACATGCACCATCTCTTTATCTAGCAGTGTTTGGAATGCACTGATACTGAAAATAAGCTCTGAATCAGCCACATGTATCATTTTATTAATCTGTCTTTTTTTTTTTAAATTTTGCAGGCTATTTTATATTTTGCAGGGATTTCCCCATCAGATAAAAAGGTTTTGGTATTAGAGCAGAGGAACTGCATGCTTTGTTCCACTGCTTTGAAGAAGCAAGCATGTATGTGTATGTATGTATATGTATGCATACACACACACACACACACACACACACTTTGATATATAATATATGCTACACAGATAGATTAGAAACTACTTGAACATCATATAACCACTGTGATGTATTTGAAAGCTTCATCTTGACAGATCAGTCTATGAGGCCATGTATGACCTCAGAGTCTCTTTCTGGTGAACCCTCTGATTACAGTTGTGAAAATCTGCAGGAGATATTTAAAAACTGTAATGTAAGCACTGAACTAGGCGTAACCTTTTTTTTTTTTTTTAATCCCTGCCCTGCCCAGTACAGCCTTCACTTTCCCAAAAGTGTTGATTGTGGTCCCTGGCCATCACAAGATGCAGAAAAACAACAACATCTCAACATTTTGCTTGCCCTTTGGCTTTTGGACTGCATGGCAAAAGTCCATAATGATTCCATCTCAGCCATTTGTTGATACATATTCACACATCATGCTGTCCTCTTTCAGAGTAAACAGCATTATGCATCATGCAAAGCACGGGGGAAAAATGCAAGTAGAGAGGGAAAAAAAGGAAAGGCAGCTGAGGTAAAGAGGAAATTTAACTAAAGTTAGATTCTTACTTCTACCATGTTCATATATGAATTCCTACATTACCTTTTGTTCCTCAGTATTGTAGTCAATAGCTTGTAAATTGAACAAATGAAGCCCTGAAATAAAATGTTGCCAAATATTCCTGGTGTCTCTATGAGTATGAGTGTGTAAGAGAGAACAAAGGCCCGATTCTGTGGGTCTGAGCACTGAATAAATCAGACAAGTTTCCCTGCACTCCCTTACATGAACAAAAGATGTTTCTTAATTCCATTTGACAGATGACTGAAATCAGATAAACATGTGCCTTCATTAGGACTACTGTTGCTTACAACCTGTTGATAGAGTTGTATTAGAATAACAACATCTGATAAGCATGTACTGTATATGCACAACCTGAATTTGCTTCACTTTACAGAATCTCACTGTGTAATATCTAGTCAGATGCCACAAAACTGTATAGAAAAATAAATGTTCAATCCACATGAAACTTAAGAGGAAATTAAATTAATTATACTGTTCCTTCCCATACGGCAGTCTGCTGCGTGATCCTCTATTTTAAAAGCCAGTTTAAAAACTGCATTAGGCAACTAAATTAGAAAAACAAATACTAATGAAAATCAAGGGATTATTATTGCAGGATTTTATATTTTTGTTTTCTGTTAAATAATTAACCTTAGCCCTTATTGGGAATCTTGGCTAGGAAATCTAAAAGATTCTTAATAATTCTTAATTGTCTTTTGTTAAAGAGAAAATGTGTTGATTAGTTGGCTGGTTTTTGACTCATGCAAGCTCATTCTGCTCCATATTCCTTTTTCCTGTCATTCCCCAGCACATATTTTCCGTACTACTTTACTATGCAGTTTTCTCGTGCTGGATCTTAAAGCCTGCCATAAAATCCTACATTTTAACATCCGCAATAGACATAAATGAGCAAATGATTAAAAAATAAATGAAAAACCTGCACATGCAAATTAAAAAGAAATGGAAACATTTCTATCAAGTGCATATAAGAAAATGCCCAGGTAAATATTTTAGTGCCATTATAAGAAGCTTTGACAGCCAAAAAGGAACTAACCTTCAACCCTACCACCCACCAGCATGTGTCTGCTGTAGCTGTTACGTTACAAGTGGAGGCTTAATCTAGACAGTACAAATGGCGTCTTACACAACACGTAGGGCTAAGCCAAAAACATTTTGCTACCAGAAGGGGATATCAGCTGGCATCATGATATCAAGTCAAGTTGTAGGGTCATTCAAAGGCAGTTAAATCAGAAAAAATTACATTTGCCTCTTTTCATCCTGGCAATAAAAATAAAACAGTAGTAAATTAAATTACTAACAAACTTGCTCCCTTTTTATGATATCCCAAATAAATTGTCCCTGATAGACATTTCATTCTCTTTGATGGCAGAGTTGAGATCCAGTTTGGTCTAGTGATTAAGACACTGGGGTAAGAGAGAGAAAACTTGAGTTTTAGTCCTGCATTAGGTATGTAATCAGCTGGATGACCTTAGACCAGTCATTTTCCCTCAGCCCTTGGAAGAAGGCAATGGCAAACTACTTTTGAAAACACATAGAAAACTGCAAGGACTTGTCTGTGTAGTCACCAGGAGTCAACAGACTCTAAGGCACCCACAAACAAACAAACAAACAAACAGGGTAGGATCAGTGATGACAAGATTACCTGCTCTGAGTAACCCTTGCATGTAAACATGTTGTAGCAAACTGGTGCTGATGCTGATAAAGGATACCAATAGTTGTCAGCCTTTTGTTTGTCCCTTTCCTGCATTCTCGTAATGGACTGTATGCTCTGCAACTGAACAGAAGATTGGATTGTGCCTTTCAGCTATCATAGCATATGGTGTGGTGATTTTTCTTTTTTTAAAGACACTTGACCGTAATTTACATTGTGTATCTTTATCAGGGAGCTCTGGAACATGAAGAAAGCAAAACATTGCGTTTTCAACTGGAACTTTCTCAAATTAAAGCAGACTTTGAACGAAAATTGGCAGAAAAAGATGAGGAAATTGAAAACTTCAGGTACAGTATGATAAACTTTTACAGGACATGTCGTACAAAGGAAAAAACTGGATTGGTACTAACAACAAATGATATGTGGCGTTTTGACTTAGAACCAGTCTCTTAAACCCTATTCAGGAGTTCATTATTGAAAGTGCTCAACATATGGGCAATCTGGATAATCGTACGACCATCTTTCTGACAGTCACATTTTGATGTTGGCTGTGACAAGTGCAAATGTCTGTATCAGGAAAGCCTTCATATTATGACTATACGTGCATTGGCTTCTACGTAAGCTTTATCGGTGTAGCCTCTAGCTTTCCTAGAGTCCAACGTCACTTCATCACGGCTAATATTTGTGTGAATATGTGTCATTAGCAGGTGATGTCATTTGAGATCCCCCAATATGGGAGCTTATCTGAAGCATTTGTGTGTTGAAAAAGAAATTACTGTGATTTAAGATGACTGACTGACCCTGTTAATTTCAGCTATGGCTGGATCCAGGCTGCAAAATTCTAGATGACCACTAAATGGCAGACATAAAAGCAGTTCTAACACTTTGCTTCTATCTAGTGGTCATCTGGATTTTTGCCATCCAGATCTGGTAGCCCTATTGCCATAGAATCTAAAAATTAGTCTGCAGAATGAATGAATCCATCAGATTTGTGTTTTCATTCAAATAATTTTAAATTATTTTTTCTTTCTGCCCCAATTTGTAAATTCTGGTTAGCTTTTTAAAAGTTAGATAGAAAAAGAACACTGAACAATTTCTACCTAAATTCAATATCTTAAGTTTTCCCCAGTCTTGAGAGGATTAGGTTTTATCATCTTGATGTTTATTGTTAAAGTTGGCAAGACTGTCTATAAAAAGAGGTAACAGCTATAATTCTGTATCACAAATATAAATGAACTCATAGGGATTCAAACCCAAACTTTTAAGAGCTACACAGTCAAAACCCTCTGCATGGAGGAACAGATTTGCTTTTTTTCACATTTGGTTTTCTCTTTTAATCTGCATTTATTTCCACCCACTTATAAAGGTATTAACTTCCCATCCCACTCTAAGTAGCTCACAATCCTAAGCAAGCTTAGTAAGAGGTAAACTTACAATCGATGGATCTTGTTTTTGAAAAAAAAATATGCAAGAGATTATGCTGTCAGCCTGGATCCAATGAAGTTTTTAAACGTGAAGTAGTCACAAATGATCTATATTTCTTAACTGTCATACGATTTTTTTCATAGTTGTTCTGCCAGTAACACATTATGTAGAAGAGGGCAATTTACTTCTGCTTATGAATCTGCTGAACCATCTGCACATGCTGTCTTAATTTGCAAGAATGTTGTTAAGACTGATTGATAATTACTGTCTGCACAATATGTTGACAAAAGATACATTAATAAACAAAAGGAAATAAACAAAAAACTGGAATCACTTTTTAAGAATTAAGAATTAAGCCAGCCAGCCAGCCAGCCAGGCAGTTAGATGGATAAAAATATAATAGCCTTCCCGATAGTAAAAAAAAAAAATGCTGGAAGATGACTTGAGGAAAAAGGCGTATCTATATATAAAATATTATTTCAAAATCAGGAGAAACCAACAGCGTACAATAGACACACTGCAGTCTACCTTGGATTCTGAAGCCAAGAGCAGAAATGAGGCTGTCCGACTGAAGAAGAAGATGGAAGGTGACCTCAATGAGATGGAAATCCAGCTGAGCCATGCTAACCGGCATGCTTCCGAGGCAACCAAGGCCACACGCATCCTTCAGGCTCAAATAAAGGTATTCCTTAAATATTGTTAATGGAATGTGTTCATTAAGAAAAAGCTCTGAACAGATGCAGATGGCATACTAAGTTTCGGAGTTGGTATTGTAAGGAAAATTTGGAGTGGCCAACCCATTTTATTTTCAACATGCTAAAGTGGGTCTGGGGACCTTTGAATGTGTTCAGCCTCTCTGCTACCTCCCATCTGATGGCTGGAAAGACATTTTTCCCCCCTGCCATTCTAAAATAAGAAAACAAGTGCACCTGGGTAAAATAGCACGTATAGAGAAAATTGTTGGGTGTGGGGGGAATAAAAAATTCTGTCAGCCAGAATACTTATATCTTTTCTGTATATGCCATAACTTGCATTCTACAATAAGATGGCAGATGTGGTATAGAGAGTGTAAGTATACTATGGTATCTACCTGTATTTTTCCCTGGTGAATATGCAGCTTGAATAGTGTTAAGAAGCTCTGTCTTTCTCACACAATTAATGCAATTTCAAAGAAATTGACAATTATTGTATCTTGTCCACATCAGTATGCAAATTATGACAGGATTTCTCAGATTAGTACATACCTGTCCCCTCCATTTTAATTTTTCTTCTCTCCACTCCCTCAAATATAATGGTCATAGTAGGCATATGGACAGGCATTAGATAAGTATGCAGGTATGTGTGCATGTATGTACATATATGCCAGAATTTCAAAGTCTCTTGGCTAAATGAGAAAATTCAGAACTCTCTAAGTTGTTTGGAAGTACGTCAGACCTTTCCACACATTTCTTAAAAAATATTCATTTTACTCTGAAGAGAAAAAATAAAAAGCTAGATGGAAATGAGGCAAGGAACATATTTAAAAGTGGTAGAGTGTTTTGAATTTCACTCTCTCTGCATTTCTTTTTATATTTTTAATGAAAGATGTGTCTACAGATGTATGAAACACATATGCTTCTGTTATTTGTTAGCAAGTGGAGAAAAGAGACAGAAGGGAGTTATAACTATCACTGCAGATGTTATATTCTGCCCACCTTAGAGGAAAACACTAAGAAAAATCCAAATGTTTGGAGAATTGTACTTCTCAAGAAGCAGATTTGGAAGCAACCAATACTTTACAAAAACACAATTTTGAGATTACTCTTATAAGTGCTAGAGTTCTTAGTTCTCTTAATGACAATTATGTAGCTCAAGTTACCTGGCTATAGAACTTACAGCTTCTCCAAGATAATAAGAGGAAACTCTAGCAGTATCTACCTAATCTTTGCTGATCTCAGTAAAAATGAAACACAGTTGAGCCTACATGTGGATAGGAAACATCAGGAATCCCAGGTCTGCAGCTAAAGTAAACAGACACACAAAGATCCTGCAAGAAAGCAATGGCAAACTTTTTCTGTTTTGTTGTCAAAAAAACTGCTTAGACATGCCCAGGTATTCACCAGGAGTTGAGCTTGATCAAAGGTGTCAGCTGGAGACGTATGTGAGAATTCCTGTTTTGTTTTAGGAGTTGCAAGTGCAGCTTGATGACTCAACACACCTGAATGAGGATTTCAAAGAGCAGTTGGCAGTCACTGATCGACGTAATACTCTTCTCCAATCTGAGCTGGATGAGCTGAGGGCTCTGCTGGACCAGACAGAACGTGGTCGTAAATTGGCAGAACAAGAATTGTTAGAAGCCACTGAACGTGTCAACCTTCTGCACACCCAGGTTGGTATGCATGCCCACCCTATTGTCCTTTTCTTCTGTCTCCTAGTGGATAATAAATCCAACATTTCACATAAAGGAATGATCTCTTTGTGCTTCCTTGTTGTGGGAGATCATTCCTTTATATATGAAATAATGGATTTATCCACCAGGGTTTGTTTCTGACTGAATATAGAAAAAGAAGAAGAAGAAGAAAGTATATATTACACAATGAGCAATATTTTAAATGTGTTTGTCTTTTGGCCTCTAGGTCAAAGGAAATTTGTACAAATTTTTGTACAACACTTCTGTGACTGTGAGCATTTCTTAAAAAAAAACTGTGCTTAAATGAATATTTACCAATCCATTAGTTGTTTATTTCCTGTTGGACATTCTTTCCATCCAAATGATCTCCTTTATTTTAAGGCTGTTCTTCTGTTCTGCAACAAGTTTAGAGAATATCCAGATAATTTCAATACCAGAATTATGTATCTTATTTAAGTTCCTTTAAATCCCCTTATTTCCATGAAAGTCTGTAAATCACAGCTCTTTCTTGTGGAAATAATGGGACCTCCAAGAATATCATCTTGGATAGATCACTCTTGCTTCCTTGCTGTTTTCTTAATTACAAATTGGCATATAGTTATCAGCCAATATTGGTGATATTTTTGCAAACCAGTTATATGAAAGAAGCTTTATAATGTCATGCTCTCTAGGTTTTTTCCCTTGCATAAAATGTAGAGTCCATTTTATTCAGATAAGAGATTTCTTTACCAGTTTCCAGAAGTATAGAGAATCCTGTGGCCTCAAAAAAATTAGCAAATATATTGTGTCATAAGCTTTCATGGGCTAGGGACCACTCCAAAGATGGGCCACTTCATAAAGAGGCCCAAGATTCTTCGTTGTTTTTCTCTGGCAAATGCTCAGCATTCCCCATCCAATTTATGCCAACACATACACCATTCTTAACTCATGGCTGACTTCTTCTCACACAAATTCTGGTGGCTCAAGAAGGATCTGATGTGGAGGATTCTGCTTTGAAGCAGAAATTGGCCTTATGGATTTTTCACTAGGGGGCCTCTTGGAAATAATATATGAATTATACTACCAGGTATGATGTATGAATAAGCCAAGTGTTATATTAGCACTGGTTCTATTGCTACAGATGATCCTGTTCCCTTAATGAATATTCCTTTCCCTTTTTCTTTTGAAACAAAAGAATACAAGCCTAATCAACCAGAAGAAGAAGCTGGAGAATGATATCACCCAAATACAAAATGAAGTGGAAGAAGCTATACAGGAGTGTAGGAATGCTGAAGAAAAGGCCAAAAAAGCAATCACTGATGTATGTAGATTGTTTACTCCTATTTTTGCATGTATGGCCTTTTTTTTAATATGTCAGCTGTTTTTGGATCCCAAGGAGTCTGGTAGCACATTCTCTAACAAATATTATTAA